TATTATATATATAAACATTTTATATACTGGACTCTGTGGCGCAGTGGCGCATTTACTTAATGTTATCAACAAGAAGAAAGAGGGGAACAGGAAGAAGAAGAAGCAATGACACTAACAATGTAAAATGGGTAATTATTCGACAATTATCTGAAATGTGTTTTCAGAATGCCTTATAGCTATTTAATGACAACGGGGTTCTGATGACAACTTAAATATACGTTGTGCGTGTGTGTGTATGCTTGCGTGTGTGTGAGCACCTCTGCCCAACTGACTGTACCTCTCTTTCTGTCTCCCTTTCTCTCCCAATCTCAGTGCTTTGTCATTGTAGTGTTACCTCTGCAGTACAGTCCGTGTGTGTGCGTGTGTGGGCACTCAATGTAACTGCAATTTGCATCCGAACAATTGTTGACAATTACTTCATGCACATATATACAAAGTGTGTGTGTGTGTGTGTGTGTCTGTGAGTGTGGGTGTGGGTGTAGGTATGGAGGAGGGGTGGTATTTAAATGCAAATACATACATAAGTGCATAGCGAGAAGTTCTGTGCCGTATGTGATTAAGTGTGTGTACCAATTCGCTTGTGCTGAGCCTAGCTAGAGATGTGCGCGTGCTCGATATGCAACAGGCAGAAGTGGGAGTGCCAGACACACTAGAACTGCATAACGATAATTTTTTATCAAGAGGGCGAACTGAGTTGGTAACTTAACCATGTCCACAAAATTAAATGGAATAAACTGTTAAAGGGAAAGGGTTTTGATTTGTAGCGATTAGATTTGTGTGCCTGTGTGTGTTTGTGCGCAAGTATGTATTATTTGTCCCCTGCATACGTATGCAAATATGTGGAAAAAGCTCAAAGTGATATTAATGGTATCTCCCACTCGAGTACTCCCCCCTCCCAAAAGTCATACCATCAATAGAACTACATAAAGAACTTTTCGTGATCACGACCCGAGCCCATCTTCCATTTAAACCGAAGTGAAATCATTGAATGAAGAGGGTTAACAAATGCAGGGACATGAACATACATACATATATAATTCCTATGTATGGGTCTTATAGATGGTTAAACATKAAATACCTCTGGAGGCTCAGAATACAAAAAAAAAAAAATAATAATAATACAATTCTGAAAAGACCTAAAGTAAAATTGAAACCAAATTCAGTAAGTATTTAATAGCTGTTATCAGAGGAGTCATTGTCCGTGAAATGAAATCTGCATGTCGCATCCATAGAGACACATACATATGCAGCATTTGTGTGTGGGTGGATGTATGACTGAATATTAATACGGGAATAACAGTAAGATTGCTCCAGTCGGGAGTGCCCAGCTCGGAGTTCTTTTAGAGTTGTTCTCCCAATCACGCTCTCTAACAAGCACGAGACGAACACGCACACATACACAACAAGTAAGAAGGCTCTAGTCTTGTTTTTTTAGACATACAATCTTAATTAGACTTTCAGAGCGTAATCATATGGTGAAAATGTGTGTACATTTTAAAGCACAAGTCTGTAAACTACAAAATCTTTGTATCGATCAAATGTATATACACAGTAAATCTGAAGTCTCTAGGTCTAAAACGGTTCAAAATAGGCTGAAAAAACAAAATCAATTTTTTTAATATTCTCTTCTATTTTTCGATGATTCCTTTTGCCCGTTACATACTTTTTCACAAAACCATTATACCCTGATTTCCCATTTTCAATGGATTCCGGGTATAATAACACATACACACTCCAGAGTAGTATAATGGGAAATTAATTTGTCTTGAATAGCCTTTGACCAAGTTGCACTTTCTTAATCGAGTATTTGAGCACAGGCATACGACACCCGAAACACACCAAAATCTTCCTTCGTTTAGGAACCGCCGCCTTATTAGACCCAAGTGCGTCTGCAACTCCCTCTTCGGCTTGTCACTGGCACTTGCCAAACTCATTTCCGGACGTTGTTTTATGCTTCTTGCATTAGGGAAAACATTGATCGAAACTTTGAACGACATTGCCACAAACAGTAAATGTAATTAAATAAAACGCGCTTCTCAATTTGTTTAATAGTTTCAAGTTGGCTTATGATTTTCTGATCAACTCGATGTTGAGGAGTTGCGCCAACCTCGTCCCAAACAACCGAACGAATGGCAATGGGCATGCGATAGGGAAACAAAAATTGCATTGTAGATAATTCTGTGGAGTAGGGGGCTAGAGGGAGTAAATGTGGTAAAGAGGTAGAGGTGGTTAAGGGGTAGGGATATTGCACAGCATTGGCGTCAAAAGAGTAACAAGAAAGAGCTGAAATTATGAGGACCGAAGGTGTAATGAAAAGACGCGCATATCTACATTTGGATTGCCCACTGCTGGGTCCGGAGGAGTGAGGAGGGCAGCTGAACAGAAGGAGCGAGTGAGGAATGTCAGGGGTAGCGAAGGAAGGAGAGTATAGCCCAGCCAAACTAAAACTGATGAGTGCGATGAGCCCGGCGAAGTGATACAGTGAATAGAAGTGAAGGTGAGGTGGATCGGTGGTTTTTTTTATTTTTGCATACCAGCCACAGACAGAGGTAGAGGCAGAGGCAGATGCAGAGGCAGAGGCGGAGACGGAATGAGAGACACAGCGACAGCCGGAGAAACCGACCAAAATACGAGCGCGAGCCAGCACCAAGCCAGGGGCAGCGGCGCGGGGGCAACGTCAAAGCGGCATGCCACTTGATGGTGGTGGTTGATATATCACGGAATTTGTGTGTGGGTGTAGTGCACAAGCAAGACGAGCACACAATATAAACCAGTTGAGGAATATGAAAACAGATAACGACTCCAAAGAAATAAAGACGTACAACAACAAGGCACGTGCAAATCACGCACACACAGAGAGAGAGAGAGAGAGAGAGAGAGAGAGAGAGAGAGAGAGAAACACACACATACGGAGATCCCTATTCTTACCGCAGACTCAGTTGTAAACAGGCAACAACGTCAAGGGCAAGAAAAGAGGTCTGTAAGGTGGGCCGGTAGGGAATGTGTGCGGCGATGAGGAATCGAATGCAAGGAGAGAACCTTGACTTTCCTTTGTTTTCTTATGCAGCCAAAGGAGGCACTGAACTCTTCATTTCTGCGAGTTGAGTTCAGATTGGATTGTGCATGGAGGCATTCGATTTGGGTCTATGTCCTATGATCTCATTGCTGGTCGGACTGCAGGCAAATAACTAAATCGGAGGTCCCGAAACTTGCCGCCAAAAAATATGGGTGGCAATGACACCCGAAGTCTGCAATATATTCTCCCAATTTCGTCATCCACGCCAACTTTGGGCAATGCCCCCTGAAAGATGGCATTTAGTGATCTGATTCATCCATGTAGTATCCATGATCTGGAAATACTATCGATATTTATCGATATGAAACTAGAGGACTTTGAAAAAATTATATATATATAGGTATATATATATACAGATGTATATACCTGAAAGTTTATAAGCGCTTGCATCCAGCTATGGGAGCTTAGTACCTCGAAGTAAAATACAAATCTCTTTATGCTGTGAATGTGTGTGTGCGTGAAGGTTTTTACTGAGAAATCTCCTTTGTTCTCCGATTCAGCATAAAAAGTTGCGAATATAAAACAAAAGTGTCACTTGCTGTTCACTTCTGCCGCCGCCAGGAGACGAGGGGCAATCGAAACATGCATTGTTTTCACCATTTTACGGCTGTTGCAGTTTTTATGCATAAATACAGTCAATATACACACATACGTGCACACACTCATACAAATGTATGTATGGCTGTCTCTGTGCGTTCAGTTTTTGTATACCCTGAACCCACTGAAAATGGGAAATCAGGGTATAATGGTTTTGTGAAAAAGTATGTAACGGGCAGAAGGGGGCGTGGCAGACCCCACAAAGTATATATATTCTTGATC